GTATCTATGGTGATGGCCACAAAGTATTGTGGAGAGAAGGGGTAGGGGGTCGTTGATCAGTAAGGAAGTGTTATGCGTTTACCGACGAGCACTCACTATAGCTACGACCGCACAATTATCGTAATTAAAATATGGTATGCTCCGACTGAGGACTTGCGACTTCGGGCCGGGTCTGCCGACTTGGCTTTGTTGTACGTCAACTAACAATGTATAGTAGAGATAGATATTAATCGGAAGTACGGCAGTGAGCAGTAAATTCTTTTGTAAGTTCAATAATCATGGTCGGGCAATAGACGCGCCCTTTATTATTATATAAAAAAGCATTTTGTAAATTTTTGTATATATTATCAGAGATGGTGAGATGTATTTAGTTGGTGTGTATGAACATGAAATACATCTTTTATGAATCATGGAATTTATTGTACAGCTTGAAAGATTTTTATTTTTTAATTTACAAAAGCACTAATAATAATTTAGATGTCAATGTATTCCAACAGCAAAAAAAAAAGAATATATGTGTCTGTTGCTCATACACACAATCTTGTTCATGAACAGTGATTACACATTCTTTTACAATATATAAAAGGCGTATACAAAAGCTTATAAGAGCACTCATCCAAAATAAGTAAAAAAGTTAAGTTCGTTTGGAACGAAATTTTTACACCCATCACCGTTATCCTAAAAAAGGCAAAAGAAATAAAACAACAAAACTTTCATGCTCCATAATAAGGAGTGGGCGCAGCTGATTTTTTCTATTTTCACAGCAAACGTCGTCGTATACGCGTGTGAGCGTTGTAGGCGTGCCAAATTCCAAATTCTTTTACAAATTTGTAGGCAATATCTTCATTTTCGCTAACGGGAGAACGTTTACCACAAATAGTACAAAGTTGCGCAAACAGGCGGATGGTCAGATGAACAAGCGAGTATGTTTGGATGTATTCTAAATTTGAAACTGACCAAAAATTTGTATACTCTATACGGTTTTTGAAGCTTGTTTCTGCGCGTTATAAAGGTCGTGAAAAAACAATTTAAGTTTGGTTCACTATAATGTTTGGATGGTCAATTTTGTTCATTTTTTTGTACGAATGTTACAGCATCGTCCATAGAATAGGCATTCAAATTTTTTTATATTTATTTCCCGTAGTTTTTGAACAATGAGGAAAAAATACATTTTCACTCCTTTTGAAAACCAGAGGTATTCTCAGTTTACGCGATACTGTGAGCGTGGCCTTCGACCGAATTGAACCATTTAAAATACCAACCCGCGTGTAAGAACTTCCAATGCTTCTGCCAAATTTGAAGCCGACAGCTTCATTTTTGTGTTCAGCAGAATTTTTACAACAGGGATTACACAGGCTTAAATCGATTCTGATCAAGAATATATGTACTTTGTGGGGTCTCTGATGCTACTTCCTGGCCGTTGCAAACATTTTGATAAAATGAACATTCCCCTCATCCTTCAGTGATGGATATAAAAATGAAAAAATAACGCAAATACACAATAAAATAATTTATTTTTCACTTTCAGTGACCCTCGGTTATTATAGAAGTTAATACTAATGAATTGCATGTTATCTCACAAATGTGCATTTCTTAACTTGTTTACATGCTTATATATACGAAACTTTTTCATATTATTGAACAGCAGGACAAATCCTACGATATTCTCGGATTCTAAAAACTCACCTACATAGGACAATTTTTATGCCCTAACATCATTATACTAAGTTTGTGTAGACGTACAAAACACCCAGAATTAGTTTTTGTGTCGATCAAAGCCTGTCTGTCGGTATGTCATTCTTATATGTTTATAATGAACTTACAGGTTTTGAGATAATTGGATGAAATTTTGTATATCGGCATGTTACATGAACAAGTGCACTAAGCAGGATGCTGTTGATCGAGTATCTAATAGTGGGCCCTGCTTACTTTCTTTTACTTGTTGATGGTATGTACAATGTATTAGCGGGCAATCCATGTTCTCTTCTATACATGTATAGAAATATAAATTTCTTTGTGTTAATGTTTTATTTGAATTCCTTGTTTTAGCAGATCCGTTAGTACTTTTAGAATGTCAAAGACGTGCTGCAGTGAATATTTAATAAATCAGTAAGTGATATTTATCGGCTGACCATTCACCATAGCTAAGATCAAATATACTCAAACTCCACTGAGGTTTGAATCCAAGAAATTCCAGTTGTTAGTCGAATCTTTTATCTGCTTGGCTATGAGGCTATAACCTGTAAGAAATTCAGCTGAGGCAAAAGTCAATAGTCAAATGTTTAGTAACAAGGGCAATCTTTCCCACGTTTCAAACTCTCTGATTTTTTTGAATCGATTTATAGTTATAAGAATAGCATATTTCGGATTCTTTTGTCGTGGTTTACGACATTTGATTGGAAATTTTCAAAAGCATATTATGTACGTAAATTCGAAATCGGAATTTGCAATTAGAGAGCACGAAGTTCGAACTCATAAGTTTACTCCACTGTTCAATTCGCGGAGCAATTCCTAACAAAAGTGAATTCCGGTTTTATCTTTTTTCTGGGATGATCGCCACATACGCACAACGTCATTATAAAATTATTCGTGCAGGATCGCGACCTCTCCTACCAATTTTCATTTCCCGGTTGCAAGCATTAATAAGTCCGGATATAGTACTTTGCGTGTTTTCTCTTATGATTTTATACAGAAATATCACTTTCATTCTACTAGCAGAAATATAATTAAGAACTTTTTAAGTAGTAACATACACATAAGTTTCACAAATTACCGTAACTGAGGTTGTAGGCGAGAATGTCGACAGTGATGTGCATTTTTGTTTATGCTTCTAGCAAAAGTATATTTTTGCGGTGAAATTGAACAAGCATAGCAGATAATAATAATTAATTAAAGAAATGAAGACTAATTAAAATCTTGGGCCAAAGCGGTTTGAGTCCTTGGTGCACACAATAGAGAAAATTATTACTTTCCACCCGAAGTTCTTGTCACCGATGAAAGCTAATTAAGCCTTAATCTTAAGCACGATTACTTGTACTTGACGCACTTGCTTATGAATGTACCAGCATAAACCATTGCACTTCAAGCTAACACCATATTCTTAGCTCATACGTACTTTCAATGGCAGAGGTCATCGATACTTTGATGTGGGATATATTAAAAGCATATTGCCTAGGGTGCAATAGAACTATACATTAATAAAAAATTAGGCGATAAAAAACCGATTTATAGAAAAGGTAGCTGAAAGGACGAATTGCAGTTTCGGTGACCAGCAATTTAAAAATGGTCAACTACCTGAATGTGAGTATTAGTCTTTTAGTTTTAGATTTTTTTTTTTAATTTACAGAGGTTGTATTTGTGCTATTCTTATACTTCGGTGGAGGCACTAAGGATGATGGAATCGATGATGGGCTTTCCGTTTAAACGTCGGACATCTTGCCCACTACACCGAACACACCCTATATTATACAAGTTAATTTAGATACCAGATAAGATTTGTATTACATAAGTTAGTTCTTGTTTTTTTGAATGTGTTTACTGTGTGTTGAACTTGTACGTTTTCCGAATAAATTGACGTCTAATATGCAATGCATATATGTATATATGTACCATTTAAAACTCATATGAATCCTAATATCACTAATTGTCAGCAGTTTGCGCAAAAAAAATTGCATGTTTAATTTGGCTTTTAATTCCATTCAATATACCCGTGACTTGTTCTAAGGTATTTGTATGACTGCAATAAGCATAGATAGATAGAGACACTCCCATATACATATATATATATATATGTATATATATATATGTATATGTTTTTTTTTATATATTTATTAACCTTAGCCTTAACATTTATTTAAAGTTAAGTGTAATGGTTTTAATTGTTCGCAGCTTATGTTTTGTAAAAAGAGACAATTCCTGCTGAAAATAATCATGATGATGACGTTGAATGGTTGCATTATTTGAAAATGAACAAAATATGCACAAAGTCTAAAATTATGATATTTGAGCCGACATTAGAAACGTTACACCACATTTGTTAACAAGCAAACTGAGTTTATATATAAATGCTTATTGCACAATGAATTTATTTGCTTTATATTGATACTAAGTCAGTTTCCTTCTTCGTTAAATTACTACTTTTTTCATGCTAATGGTTAAACGCTTTTTATTATAAAAAGAAAAACTGGATTTTCAAAATGCATGTGTAATCCCACCACTTGTGGTATAAGAGCATATAAAGTATGTGCACGTGTATGCAACATTCAGAATGACTTTTGATGAAGCTATCTTTCATTGTACCGATCACTTTCTGAATTGATCCAAGCCTATCCGTCCGGCAAATCATGGATTCTTGTATTGATTTTCAATTTCTGATAAAATTTGGTATACCGACGGGTTTTGGCCTAATCCTATTGAAAATGATTCGGTTCGGATCATTTTTTCGAATGAGCGAAATGATATAAAGAGGCTCTGTCCTACTATGGTCTTACTAGTTTCACCTTAGGTCAGGTACAATCCTTTTTGGGATAAATTTGCAGCAGGAAAATTCGACGAAGAATCTTTAATTCAGGAAAGCATTAATTTCATGAAGTTCTTTTGTATATTATTACTAAGAAGATTAAAACTAATTTAATTTTATACGATTCTATATATATCTGATTAATAAAATGTCTTATTAAGTGAGCCATAACTAAATCTGAAAGAGTTGTGGAAATTCTTATTGGTTTGAGTTCTTCAAACAATTTTTCTTCTTCAAACAGGTTTTCTGCATCCATTGTATAAACTAAATTTTAAAGACAAATGGAAGACAGAACAAATACATCAACAACTAAACAAAAAATTTGGAATGACCGATGTAAGTTTGCACAGTTGACGCTACTATAATTTCTCTGTATGTTTTGGAATTTAAAAGATCTTTTTAATGTTTTAAAAGAATAAACCGTAAAGGTAACTTCCCCGCAAATTTTGAAGATAGAAAAAAAAAACAAATGTTTACTTACCTCAGCTTGTGTGGTGGTAGAAACTGGTCCTGTATAAACACTGCTTATTACATCTAATAAAACCGCTAATACTAAGAACACAAAACTTTGGCGGGTGAACATTTTTGTATAGCAATTGTTGGTGGGTGATTTTCTTCTTTCCACAAAATTTCGTCGCTTTGTTGCTGGCGGCGTTAGATACTCAATAATGATGATTTCCATGTACTTGGTTTCGTTGAACAATGTGCTTAAGTTAATTATCAATATTTCAACTAAACTAAGCTGTTTCCAAGCTTTTCTATCAAATTTCTCGTATTGCACACTTCCCGTAAAAAGCACAAATTAAGCTATAAGGGTGCAAAGAAAAAATTATGGTTATTATACAAATTATTATAAACTATATGTTTATTTGTATTACATACATTTACATACACATAGTAAAATTGTCATAAATAAAATGTTGTCAGAACATTTTCGAAGTAATATAAGTAAAACAAATTAAAATGTTATGGCTCGGCAAGGTCAACTGTTAGACAGGAATTCGCTTAATACATTGCAGTTTCCCTAACTAGAGACAATTAAAAATGAAGTGTTTTTGCCACATCAAAGCCAATTTTTTGTGAGAGATGCTAAACGGACTCTTAGGAATCGATCAAATAGATATAGGTAGTTCAAATCAATGACAATTAATGTCAAAATACAGTTTTCATTATAAAAGACTAAAAATACTCTCTACCGGGAAGGGGTTGCTTTCCACACGAATTTTCCACACTTTATTGATACGTTGTCAGAAATACAAATGAAAATTGAAATTTCAATATTTCATATGAGCAGTGATCGTGGAAATAGTCCGATACAACCCATTTTTATTGTAGTTCTTTCATGAATTAGAGTATTTAACGTACCAAGTTTCAGACGTGCTCACAAATGGGGACACAGACAGATGAGCACATGGATGGACGGATGGACAGACGGACAGACGAGCAAAAGACCAGAAGGACGTACCAGTCAAAGGATATATGGGCAGATAAACAAGTGAACAGATGGAAATATGGATAGAGATGCTTATATTTGTTAATTTTGATTAATAAAACTGGTTCGATGGAGCAAAGTGTAAGTCTATCTTAAGTATTTCTGGACATTGCGTGTATACGAATTCATACAATATAATCCAGCCAGAAGTGGTTTAAGCTATAAGAATCCAATAATTCCATTTAGATTAGTCGAAGTAGATAAAAATCAACGTGAATGAACGAACACCTCTAATTACCATATAAACATGATTAAATTGTAAATGGAGAAGTTGTCAAAATAGGGATGCAATCACATTCTGTTGCACATTTTTAATGACAATTTGATTACTTTATGACTTCTCTGAAAATTTTTATCTGTTTTTGTAACCCTTAGACAGAGTCGTAGCCGTTCCTTTCCTATCCCGGTGTCTCCATTCTTATGGGGATTAAAATTTCATTAGGAAGGGTGGAAGAGGCCCAACCAAAAAAAAAAAAAAAATAATTAAAAGTTTTAAATACGAAATTGTGTAATATAGTTTTTAGCATACTAGAGATCTCAAATTATAATTAGGAATGGCTCAATTTTGCTTACGGTAAAATAGTCGCAATTGCTTAACTGTTAACGTATAAATTTACAACTTTACGGAAAAAAGGCCACCAAGCAACGCCCAAAAGGAACTGCACATGTTTGCCAACTTTACTTATATATCTTAGGTTATAGTTAATAAAGATAACTTTCTGCTTCAATCTGCTTTTTAAGTAGTTTATTATTTTCGCGTGCTTCTTTTAATCTTTACCTTTATATGAATTCATTTACATTATTTTCAATTTTGGATGGCATTTAAAAAATGCCAACAAGTGAAGTCGTTAAGAACTCTTAACGCAAATACCTTTAATGAGATTGTAAAAGTTAAACCAACCAATAACCATTTTATATTCAATTGAATATAAAATGCTATGCGGG